ATTTCCAGTGTTTGGCTGTTAACAATGATAGCTTTTTATACTTTTGGTGTCACCAGATAGTCCCCGTTATACTGCTCCGCATGTTACTAGTAAGTCTTTGAAATTTGGCATTTAAAGTTTGTGTGGTGTTCAGCCTTACAGTTCTGCTTACTAAAGCCACCATTTCCATGGTTTCTGCTTAAGCTTTTTTATTGTGGAAAAACTTTAAGTATAACTCAGTACAGGGCAGTGTCACGAGCAGCGGTGTGCCCACAGAACAGGGTTAGCAAATGGTAATGTTTGCTTCACATCTTTCTTTCTTTAAAGAAATTCATTAGGCTTTTCTGAAGGTCCCATCTGTCCCCTCAAACAGGTTTCTTTGTTTTCTTACTGTGTATGTGTGGGATCATCAGGGGCTGTGTTGTGCATGTCATTCTGCCCTTGCTGGTTTTGGAGATGTGTCTGTGTGTCCGTCTGTTCCCATTTTTACCTCAAGCTGGAGCACATGGTACTGAGTCAGGCCCCAGGGTCTAAGTTGACTCTGCCAGAGAGAAGCCGTAGCACACTCTCGCGTGGAGCAGAACGCCTCATCTCCCTCCCTTTCGATTCCTGAGCATCATCCTCAGGCTTGACATCTGTTCCCATGACCTTTCATTAAGATTTTTGTGAGTTTATTTTAGTCCATGTACTATGAAGTGATACAGTCTGTCTGGTCTCATGGCTTTTTGAAAGGTCGCTTTTTAAAAAACACCTGAACAGTCAGTCATTTTGGGGTAACTTGGCAGCCATTTGACAAGGTGTCTTTGCAGGATGACCAGCTCATCGTCGGGTCTCTTGGCGGCTTCTCAGGGCGTGGTGACAAAAGGGCACGGCCACTTCAGTTGGCAGGGACTCTCCCTGCAGGTTGTGCATTTCTGAAATCCACAGTGGACAGAGACTGATTTGTTGTGTTGGGCTCACAAAGCCACGTGGGCAGCCACGTGAGGCATTGGTGCTCCTTCCTGCTCCCCATCTCTGCCGGCCCATGTGCATGGCATCCTTTGCTGTGGGACTCCGCCGGTCTGGCTCAGCGTGAGTGAGCTGGGAGCTTGACAGATTTGGATACAACTTGGGCGCATCTGTCACTCATCAGCTTCTGCTCTTGAAGACTCGGGCGCTATGTGGGCTTGGGTGATGCTGCACCATGAGGTCCACGTGTGCTGTCCAGTCTCTGTGGTGGTAGAGGTGCTGGGGGAGCAGCCTGCTGGCACCCAGCCATGGGCTGCTCTGTGCCCACAGTCCCACAACCAGGAAGGCTGCCCTCGTCATGGTGAACTGCTCCAGTTCCCAGAGTTCTTACTCCTGCTGGCCTGAGTGTGCTTCCCCAGGGTCCGTAGTTCTGTCAGGTGCTTACTTGCTTGTTTCTCAGCCCTGCACTCAGCCTGCCTATGCTTCTCTGCAGATGGCGGCCTCTGGCTCCTCTTGGGGGGCCTGGCTGTGTGGGTGTGCCAGCTCTGAGCCCCCGGGAGCTGGTGCTCCTGGAAAGCGACCGGGTTCAGCCCCTCAAAGCTGGCTGACTTCCTCTTTTCCTGCCTCTGCCTTCACCATCTTTGGCCTGTGGCCTGCCTTCGGAAGCTACTCATCTGGAAGACGATGGAAGCAAGTTACACAAAATTCTCCATGTGGCTTTGTGTCTTCACTTCTGTACAAAATCAGTGCTGAGTAAATACATCTATTTCAATATGGTTAATGTTAGAAAATTTGACCTTTTTTATAGGTGTTGAAAACGAGTATTGGTGGTAGGGAACATATTGATTTATTCTTTGAATCTGAATTTTCAAAGCTATGTTTTTTGTACAACACTTGAAAATCATGCATCCATTTGCATTAGAGAATTTTAAGAGTTCGTGATTTTGGTACTCATTTGTTTGGTTGGCCTAACATCTCTGCAGCGACATGCCTGGTGGTAGATGAGTGTGCTAGGTGGGCTGGGGCGTGGGTAGGCCGACTGGTTCTCAGCAGAGCTTCTTGGTCAACACCATTCTTGCTTAAGATGTGTTTTATCTTACTTCAGGGAATGGCTGAGCAGCTCCCCGGGGGCGCAGCGGGTAACTGAGGCAGTGGGTGCTGGATGGTGTCTCGCCTATAGCACTGCTAACTTAGTGTAGCTGTCAGGCTGCCATGCGTGTGCTTTTCTCATCATTCACAAAGAAGTCTGAAAAATTTTTTAATTGTGAAAATATTTTTCATTAAGTAATTAAACACTGTTTCCACTTGTCTGTCTCCGTCTGCATAGTCTGCTGACAACAGCCCTTCTCTCAGTAGAGTGTCTGTGAATGGAGGAGAGTGACAGGTTGGCGGTGTTAACTTCCACACGCGAGCCAGGGTCAGTCCCAAGAAAGACAGCCTTGTCACATCCCACAGTGCTCTGCTTATTGGCTCGAGGGCAGTGACAACCAGAACTTGAGCGCAGGGAGGTGCGCTGCATCCAGAGGCAGGCCTGGCTCACTGAGCCGTCCTCCAGCCTTCACGGAAGGGCAGACAGATTAATTCACTTACTGGACTAGGTTCTGATATATTAGTAACTAGCTTTGTAGGTTCTCAAAGGTGAGGTCGGTGATTACAATGTGATTTTAGAAAATGTTCTTACTTTGGAAATCTTTGCTTTTAAGTTATAGTTTATTTTTGTTTTTAAAGAAGCTTGTGTGCTTTTCAGGAACTTTGTAGCAAATAATGGCACAAAATAGAAACAAAAGGATCCCCTTCCCTGGAATGGGATCCCTAAGTGGCATGGCTGACATTCCGTGTGGTCACTCAGAAGTTCCATGGGGCGAGTCAGCCACAAGAGGTTGTAAACTGAGCTTCTCACCAGTACGCAAATTTCCTTTAGCCTCATGAATAATTGTGAAAAACATTCACTATCAAATCCCAAATAAAGTTGAAAGACTTGCTATTCCCTTATTTGAGGATACCTGAAAATATTTAAATATCAGGAGGAAATGGTAACATTTAAAAAAAAATCATGTACATTCAAATACTTACAAATCAGTTTTCACACCCACAATTATCCTCAGAAGTTAGAGCTTGAATGGAGTTCATAGTGTTCTGGACACGATTCAGAATCTCCTGAGAAGGAACTTAACCAGTTACAGCATCTTACGTCTCAGACTCAGAGGTTCCGATCTCCTGGGTCTGAACTGTTTGATCAGGAATGTTTCTCTCTGTGTTTGCATGTGTACACGTGTGTGTATGTATGTGGGGTGTGTTTATGTGTGTGTGTGGTGAACGTGTGTGCGTGTATATTTGGGGTGAATGCACATATGTGTGCAGTACATGTGCACATGTATGGGTATGTGGGTGAGTGCATGTATGCGGTGAACATGTGCACGTGGGGGGTGAGAACGTGTTCGTGTGAATGTGTGCATGTGTGTCATGAATGCATACCTGTGGTGAACATGCATGTGCGGCTGTGTGTACATGTATGTAGGGTGAGTGCATGCACATGCATGTGGTGAATGAGCATGTGTGTCTCGGGTGAGTATGGTGAATGTAGTGAACATGTGTGTGTACGCACATGTATGTGTGGTCATGTGCATGCATGTGCGGGTGAGTGTATGTTTTGTGTGCGGTGAGCATGTGAGTGCGTGTGCACGTGTGCCAGTGTCATCATTCCCAGTTACTCGTCCCACAGTTGTGGAAGTCGTGTCTCCAGCTCCTCTCAGTGCAGGCCGTGTGCCAGGCATTGGAGACGGGCTCCTGTGGCGGGCTATGGCTTCCAGGCGCGTGGGTCCTTGGGTGGGGAGAAGTGAGCCGCTGCCCCTCCCTCCTGGCTCCACCAGGACTGGGTGGCTCGGGAAGCTCAGCTTACGTACCAGTGGGAATTTTCTTTCAGAGAATGAGAGGGAGGGTTTGGGCTTGGGGGTGCCTTATTACTATTTTTATTTAAATGTGTTTATCTTGGCAAGTATTGGGCTCCTTGTTTGGCCTTGAGTCACCCAGATTCTGAAGTTAGAGGAACATCTTTCCTGGTAAAGGATGTTGGCGTTCAGGGGTCTCTAGGCTTGGTTTTGTTCAGTTTCTAAAAGAAGCCTAAGGAGGAGATCGTGTAGCTCTGCGGCCCCCGTGCCTGCTGTCTGTTCCCACCATCTGGGTCGTGGGAACATTTGGGGCTCAGGTGCCCCAGGCCCGGCCTTGTGGCCTCACCTCACAGGTACCCCATACCTGACTGTTCAGTGGGGGAGCAAAGCCACAAAGGGTCTCCTGTTTTTATTGCATTAGTAACTAGTTTGTGGTATTTGGAGGTATTCTAATACTGAGGCCACAGTCCTCATCACCATGTGTTATTCACCACATGTTGTGCCAGGTGGGCGTTCGGGTCCGTGGGCTGAGCTGATGGCTCTGCGTCCTGTCTTAGCACTTCGCCTGGTCTTGATGTGTGTCCACAGCCGCTTCTGCACGCGCTTCTGTCCCGGCTGCGCCGGTTCCCGTCAGCACGGGGTAGCCGAGCGAGTATGGCATCCATCAGAGCAGGTTTAGAGAGTCATGTTCTAAGAGCACAGAATGCCAGGTTACTGGCCCCATAAACACACATTGGTATGTGCAGCGCCATTGTGGTTCTGCTTAGCAGTGGGAAACAGAGGTACCGGTAGCAACTTCCACACGTCACTGTTTCTATTTAATAGCCAAGAACTGAATTTTAGTATCAACAGGCAGATTCCGTTGCCTCACTTACATGAGGGGAAGTATCTGTCCCTGCTTTGTCCCTTCAGCGCCTGCAGTCTTAGGGCTTTGAGAGGCCAGCAGGGGCAGAGAGAGGGTGGCCCAAACACCTGTAAGTTAAAATCCTAGGCCCAGTCTCCAAGTTGATCACCATAAAATGAAGTATTTTTTCATGTGAAACATGAATTTCTGAAGGTGGGGATCGGTGGTGTATTGTCACCTGAGGGGGCAGGGCAGGGGGGGACATGTGCTGGCCACTGTGATGTCTGGGGCATGTCCTCTGCTAACCCGTGTACCGCTGTCTTTCCTTGTCAATGAAACAGCCAGACCAAATCCGTTTGGAATGCCTGGGATCGTGCCACCGTACGTCCCCCCCCAGATGCTCAACATTCCGCAGACCCCTCTGCAAGCAAAGCCTGTGGTAAGACCCTCCTCCCCCTCCTGCAGCTGGTCAGCCTGCCTTGGGGGGTTGCTGCACACGCATCAGATTTTAGCAAAAGCTAAAATAACTTCTTAGGCTGTTGAGCTGATACGTGAAGCAAGTGCCAGTGTTTCTTGAGTTAAGACGTAGCCAGGACCAGGAAGTGCTGATGGGAGCCGGGTGCTGCGGGCCTCGAGTGCACGCATGACCTCTGCCCTCTGTTTCAGGCTCCACAGGTGCCCAGCCCAAGTGCTGCAGGCCAGGGTCCACACCCGTACAGCCTTGCTGAGCCGGCCCTTGCTTTGGAAACTAGTGGAAAGAGTCTGACTGAGCACAGCACCTACAGCAACATTCCTCACGAAGGAAAGCATACCCCGCTGTATGAACGGTCGTCCCCGATTCACCCAGCTCCGGGCGGCAGCCCCAACCACGTGGACTCAGCGTACTTTCCAGGGTCTTCTACGCCGTCGTCTTCCGACAACGATGAAGGTGGTGGAGCAGCTGCAAAGTGAGTGGGTGCGGTATAGCCGGTGCTTCCCGGACTTGTATCGGCTGCGTGAGGCCCATCACGTAGCTTGGTCTCCTGGGAAGCCACCTTCCATCCTCTGGCGGCCGAGAGGTGTGTGCAGAGAGAGCTGTCATTTGTGGTAGGAAGGGGACATCACTGCGCACAGACTCGGGCTTCTTGGAGATGAGGAGCAGAGGTGAGATGCCTCCTCAGGGCTTCCCGGACTGAAAATCTGCACTGTTCCAGCCTCACGTGGTCTTGGGCCACTCCTCTGCTGGGGTGGAGTTTTGGGAAAATTGGTTTGTGTGACCCTTAGACATGGGGAAGTTATCTGGTCAAGTGCTGCTGACCCTTACTCTCCCCTGGGCTGTGAGACCCCAGTCCCACCCCCAGAAAGCATTTTAAGTTAAACACCGGTGGCTTTCAGTCTTGGCTCCTGGATCGAGGGGAACTCTGAATCTCCTCTCCTGAACTGAATCTAGCAACTCACTTCTCAGCTCAGCAGCTTGTAGACCGTTCCTGAAATCACACTGTTTATCTGACCGGAAACAGAGAAAGCTGCAATCCGGGTTGGAACTTGGAGAGGAGTATTTTTTGTTTTTAAAGATTTTATTTATTTATTTGACAGAGAGAGACACAGCCAGAGAGGGAACACAAGCACACAAGCAGGGGGAGTGGGAGAGGGAGAAGCAGACTTCCCGCCCAGCAGGGAGCCCGATGTGGGACTCGATCCCAGGACCCTGGGATCATGACCTGAGCCGAAGGCAGACGCTTAACGACTGAGCCACCCAGGCGCCCTGGAGAGGAGTATTTTAAATGTGTGTCCCTGAGTAAATGAATTTTCAAATATGTAGTTTGTTAGAATCTGATCAAGAAAGTCTTAAATACACTGTCTTGCTCCTCCTGTCAAATACCGTTGTTTTAAGAAATCTGATTCACAAATGGGAAGAAATGGGGAAAAGCAAGGGCCTACCATACTGCTGTGTCTGCTCTTCCTCGTTGCTCTCTGGCTCGTGGCTGGATGGCCAGGGCCCCTTGGCGCTCCATCGATGGAGATGGTTTCTCGTCTTCTGTGAATGCTCGGTGGGCGTAGAGCCTGAGGCCGGACGTCCCCTCTCCTCCTCTGTGGAGTGGGCATGAGTGTCCGCTTACCTTGGGCGGCAGCTACAGAGGGCTTCACTGCCATGCATGGCTGTGTGCTCCACGGAGTAATGGAGCATAACTCTGTATGTAAACGATTATCATGGTATTGCAATTCTGCAATCCCAAGGTTGTACCTTTGCATTTACACTTCTGAGTTAACCTTCTGGAAAGGGAGTATAGTGAAGATGTACTGAGTGTGACTCTCTGGGCCGGGGTCCAGGCTCATGTGCAAACGCGAACAGCTGGTCATGTCCCAGAAGCTCTTCCCCTCTGGAATTCGAAGGCACTGAGTATTCTCTGTTGAAAATCACTTCGCGCCAACACGCTGAAGATGTCTGTGTGGCACATGTTTGGTCTAGTGAGAGACACTTTTCCTAGACAGCTGGGAGCAAGGCCCAAAGCAGGAGGGGGTGTGCCATGTGCCCGGGCCCTGAGCTGCCTGCAGGGGTCCCCCACCTAGCTTGGCCAGCCACCCTGTGGGGGTGGTAATTGCTGGAGGGCCCCTTGCTTCTCTTATGTGCCCTCAGCTCTGCCCTGTTCCCAAAGGCTCAGACCTCGTTGCCTCTCTGGCTCTGCCCTGCCTTGGTGCTTTCACGGTGCTCTCTGGAGGAGCTGTTGGAAGGTGGGCTCGCATGTGGGGTGATGTGAAGTGTGGTGAAGCCTCAAATCCAGACATTGGGTAGCCTTGTGGGCCTATCAACACTTTAGTGTCCTTGAATCCCCATTGATCGTGATCAGCAGAAATGTTAAAATAGAGAGGAGGGCGGGAAGGGAGAGACTCTGGGGCCGTACGCCAGGCAGAGCAGGACTTGGGGCCTGCTGAGTGTGCCGTGTGTGTATACTTGCTGTGCGCAGGACAGGGTGTCACCCTACTGGCTCAGAAACTCAGCTGGAGCAGGAAGTTGTGACCTGCTTTACCTTTGGTTTGGATCTGAGTGGGGAGCTCTGGACCTGCAGCTGCCCTCAGGATGGTTTTGGGGGAAGGAAGTGCATTTAGCCAGGCACCACCCAAGCTCTTGCTGTGCTCTGTGAGCATGGTGGCAGGTAGCACAGGCCAGGCGCGGTGTCAGGCTGGCGTGGCCTGTGTTGGTGGCATGTTTTTAAAGGATGGTGCTGATAGGTGACAGGACCATTACTGAATGAAAGTGAATTGACCTCTCCTCTCCCTCAAAGCATCCTACAAATGACAAAGACAAGTATTTTAAGTAGCAAAGAACATAAACATGCAGTTCACAGAAGAAACACAGATGGTCAGGAAGCATAAAAGGATGTTCACTCTCCCTTTAAAAAAAAAAAAGGAATGTTAAAACATAATAAAGTACATTTTTGTGAAACATAAAATTGTCAAACACATACTTTTAAAGATAAAGTTCAGTAGATGCAAGATTTTGGCTCTCCTGGCGTATTCCCTGCACTGAGGTGAACGTGAGTTGTGTTCTGTGCCCTAAATGTGGACAGCAGGGAAAGTGGGGGACCTACGAGCGTGTGCTCACGGTAGAGGGAGTCTCGGGAGTCCGGAGGCAGGAATTTGCCTCCTGCCTGCCACTCAAGTTCATGTGTGTGATGCCAGGCATGCTTGGTGTGTGTGTGTGTGAGTGTGTATGTGTGTGAGTGTGAGAGAGAGATGCCGGGCATGCTCGGGGTGTGTGTGTGTGTGTGTGTGTGTGTGTGTGTGTGTGTGTGTATGTGTGTGAGTGTGAGAGATGTCGGGCATGCTCGGTGTGTGAGTGAGTGTGTGAGAGAGAGATGCCGGGCATGCTCAGTGTGTGTGTGTGTGTGTGTGTGTGTGTGTGTGTGATGCTGGGCATGCTCGGTGTGTGTGTGTGTGTGTGTGTGTGTGTGTGTGTGTGTGTGTGTGTGAGAGATGCTGGGTATGCTCGGTGTGTGAGTGTGAGTGTGTGAGAGAGAGATGTCGGGCATGCTTGGTGTGTGAGTGAGTGTGTGAGAGAGATGCCGGGCATGCTCGGTGTGTGTGTGTGTGTGTGTGTGTGTGTGTGTGTGTGTGAGAGAGAGAGAGAGAGAGAGATATGCTGGGTATGCTCGGTGTGTGAGTGTGAGTGTGTGAGAGAGAGATGCCGGGCATGCTCGGTGTGTGTGTGTGTGTGTGAGTGAGAGAGACAGAGAGAGAGATGCTGGGCATGCTCGGGGTGTGTGTGTGTGTGTGTAAGATGTCGGCCATACTTGGTGTGTGTGTGTGAGTGTGAGTGTGTGAAAGAGAGATGCCGGGCATGCTCGGTGTGTGTGAGTGAGTGTGAGAGAGATGCCGGGCATGCTTGGTAGGCCTGCCACTATTCCTGCCTGCTTGAATACCTCAGCGGCATCTTGGCCCTGGAGCTGGGGTGGGAGTCCGGGGCTGTGGCTCTCACGGATCCTCATGAGCCCGATCTGCATCCCTGCTGGCCCAGGAGTCCCGGGGCCTCAGAGGCTGCTGTACACGCAGTGTGCTTACGTAAGGGTGTGTGCATACCTGTGTGCCTGAATGTGTGTGCTTGCACCACATGTTGGCTCTGTGTTTGGCTGTCATCACTGACGCTTTTAAATGGACGTTGGAAAGTCCGTTGGGAGAGAATGTGAATGTAATTTATATGCTTTGTGGGGTTGGTTGTGTGGATTGCTGTTTCGTGTTCCTGTGCACGTGGGTGCGGGTACCAGGTCCAAGCAGCATCTGTCGGGTGTAGACCCGCTATGGACCCCGTGGGACCGGATCTGGGCTGTGGAAGGTCCCCGTCGGTGCCTGAGGGCCTGTGCACCAGTGTGGGGACTCAGGCCCCGGCGTCCCGTGGCGGTTCATGCTGCACTGGGAGTGGATGGGAAGCGTCTGGGTTGTTTGTGGACTGAATCAGCTAGTGCGTGAGCTCAGTAAGCGATAGACAGTGTCCCTGTGGTATCAGAGCACCGTGTCCATGTCAGTGAGACACCGAATAACCTGGTGGCCCAGGGGATGTGCTTTTGCCGTGAAACGGTAGTGCTGTTGGGCTTCTTCCCAGTGTCCTTTCAGTCTTCTTTCCCAAAGACATGGGTGGTTCACAGAGAGAACCACGTCTTCCCCAGCCCGGCGGCTCCTGGCCCCGGACAGGCTGAACACGGCTGTGGGTTCTTTCTTCCAGAGCCCTGCGCTCTGTGTTGTGCCAGACACGCAGTGGCTTTAGAGGGTAACAAACCTTCTGTCTCCTCGTAGAAATAATTCTGAGGTACTTTTCTATGTCAGTAAGATTTAATAATCCTCTGTGCCATCGCAGGAGGGTGTCTGCACGTGTCCTGGCTGTGCAAAGACCCAGGTGGGCATTTTGTGTGGAGCTCGTCTGCCTCTGTTAGGTGTCAGCGCCCTCCCTCGTGGGCGGAGAGGTGTGAGGAGTCCTGGCAAATGTGCGAGAGGCGCACACGGACGCCATCCCCATCTGGCTGCTGCGTGGGAATTGGACCACCACCTCCTCTGTTCCCAGTTTCTTGTGAGGAAGCCTGAGCGTGTGACATGAGCTTAAATCGGAGCCTAAGGAGAGTGCACCTGCTGCAGTGTCGTGGGTCCAGCTCCCAGCTCCCCTGTCCCAGAGTCGTGCCCTCTGCTCTGCGGTGGGAGCCCCTGGCTACGGGCCTCAGAGCTCTGCAGGTCTGCGGCAGGGACAGGTGGGCATCCAGGCTCCTCCTACCACAAGCTGGGGAGCACACAGATGAGAAAATGTACTACTTGCGCTTGTTGCAGGCCATCTGTGACTTCTGTGCACACTGGATGCTTCTACTGGAGATTGGATCTTTTAGTTTTCTCTCCTGTTTTGTTGTTTCCCATCTGGTTTCATTTGCCTTTGCCGTTTCTTTGCTGTTGACAAGTCAGCTTGTGGTCAGTGCCCCCATCAGGGCAGCCTGCTCCCGTGCAGTGGGGGCACGAGTGAGAAGTCAGTGTGGTGGGCCAGCTGCCCTCACCCATGGTGCACACGCACCCCAGAACCCCCATCCCGCCGACTAGACCTGAGTGTAGGAGGGAACCCAGTGGGAAGGGTGCTGTGCTGTCTCCCGCAAGCTTTGGTGCAAATGGCCCCAAATGTCCACCCACAAAGTGAGGCCCACAGAGCCCAGTGGTGTGGTGCTGGCCTTTGTCCTAGCCACCGTCCTCGCCACCGTTCTGGGTATGTTGATGGCTTGCGTACAGCCCCTCTGCCATGCATGGGTCCCTTCTCCCTGAGCCTGACTCCTGTCAGCAGGATTTGGCATGAGCATGCAGGCTTCCTGTGGCCTGTGTGGGGCCCAGCAGGTCTCTCCAGGGCATGGCCAGTGACAGGGTGCCATTCTGAGGAGTTGTGGGGAGTGAAACCCAACTGTGTGTTCTTCAAGGCAAGGCATCTGTCATATATCAATAGCTTGTTTCAAGTTGTAAAGTGACAGTCATCCTAGTGAGATGTTCAGGACTTTAGAGAAACTGGCTATTGTCAAGATACTTTTCAGGCAGAATTTCAGGTTTTATAGTATGATTATTAGGAGACTGTGAGGTCATCTAGATTAGGACATTATTGTTAATTTGGTAACCACTCTGCTTGGGTGCTCGCTGCCCTGGGGCCCATCTCATGAGGTTCACGTGCTTACAGGGCTGCATGTATAACGAGTCCCCATGTTGAGCTTTGCGTTGCATGGAGAAGTCAGGTTTATGCTGTTGTCTTCACCTTATACCTTTAGGCTGCAGTTACATGATTCGTTCCTTTAGCCACTGGGCTCCAGCTTGGCAGTGGCTGTGAGTGCTTATCTTCATGGAATGTATGATTGAGTGATGGAGAGGGACAGTAATTCAGTGCCAATGTGACGTGTGCCGTGAGCGACACGGCTGTGAGAATAGCAGAGATGGGCGGGTAGGGAACCCTGCACTGAGGTGGCGTGCCTGCCAAGGCCTGCAAGATGAGGCATCACAAATAAGAACCTGTCTGTGATGAAGACAGGGGCTGGAAGTCCACCAGATGTGAGATCCCTCTGCCTCACCAAGGACTTGTATCCAGAACAGAGGACTTCCCAGAAGTCTGTAAGAAGAACATTTTGCATGTTTTCTGCAATGGAGAGAGCACGTGGATTATTTGTACAGGCAGCCCCAAGAGAAGATGTCATACGTGGAGAGGTGCTGATCTCCTTCGTCATCAGGGAAATGCAGACCAGACCATGTTGGGGTCACCACATCCCGAGAAGGGCTGAGGTGGGCGTCACAGGAGACCCAGCGTGTCAAGGGTGGGAGCTCCTGGGATGTCTTGCGGGCTGGACTGTAGCCCTGCTGGTGGCGTGCTCTCCCTGGAACACATCCAGCAGGGAGGCTGAACCAGCATGGTGGGCAGGAAGATGGCTGAGCCCAAACCGCGGGCCACAGGAAGTGCACAGTTGCACCGTTCCATTTCTGTGGTGCTCGAAGCCCAGGGAAGGCTATGTTTGCTGTTAGAAGTAAAGCAGCCAATGTCCTTGGGGAGGAGGTCTGGAGCAGGGCAAGGAGGGGCCGCCTGGTGCGTCAGCCCTGTCTCAGTTTGGCTGCCCACACGTGTGCTCAAATTGTGGCCACCCATTAAGCTGTTCACTTATAACTCATGCGGGTTTTTTTTTTTTTTACAGGTATGTTATACCTAATTGTTTAAAATAGTAATTAATGAATGTTATATCTCTTTATAAAACTTGTAAGCATTTGGGCGCTTGGGTGGCTCAGTCGTTAAGCGTCTGCCTTCGGCTCGGGTCATGATCCCGGGGTCCTGGGATCGAGCCCCGCATCAGGCTCCCTGCTCAGTGGGAAGCCTGCTTCTCCCTCTCCCGCTGCTTGTGTTCCCTCTCTTGCTGTGTCTCTCTCTGTCAGAAAATAAAATCTTAAAAAAAAAAAAACAAACAAACTTGTAAGCATTTAAGTAATTTGTTCCAAAGTTTCAGTAAACAAAGGTCACTGACTTCTTAGTGAAAAAGTACGTAGGCAGCTCTGTTTGTGCCGTGTTCTAGACACTTCAGTGCTGTCAGCCTTTGCTTCCCAGTGCTTGGAATGTGCGCTCGATGCTCGATGTGTGTGGTGGGGCTGTCCTCTCTGTCTCCCACTCAGGTGTCAGGTCTGTGGGCTCACATCCTGAGCCCTGCTGCAGCCTCCCCTCCACCATGGCTGCTTTTGTCTTGAGTTTAAACAGAATGATCATTATGCTCTCAGAGTACTTCCATGTCCTGTGGTGCCGCAGCTCATCAGTAGGGCTCCTTCTGGTTTGGCAAAGCTGTGGGCTGAGGGGGCACAGTGGAGGAGCGGACCTGGACAGAGCAGTGCTTTCTGCGTCCTTGCTGATGGCCAGGAACCTGGACACCAGGCAGCTGTCCAGGTGCCCCGTCCCGTGGCTGGGACTGAGGAGCCGAACGGGCTCTGAGACACACAGTGTGGAGCACGACCCTTGGTTTACGATGGGCAGCCTGCTCCTCATCTCTCCTTTTTGCATTCTTTTGTTCTGTTTTGTTTTGGTAACAACTAAAATGAAGTCAGTTGGAAGATAGGAAAATTCGTGGGTCTTTTTTTTTTTTAAAGATTTATTTATTTGCTTGAGAGAGAGAACACACTCATGAGCTGGTGGGTGGGGGTGTGGCAGAGGGACAAGCAGACTCCTCGCTGACTCCCTGCTGACTGCAGAGCCGATGCGGGGTTTGATCCCAGGACCCTGAGATCATGACCTGACCCGAAATCAAAAGTTAGACTCTTAGTCAACTGAGCTGCCCAGGCATCCCAGGAGAATAAATGGGTCTTAACAAATCTCCATCTGTCCTGTGGGTCTGTTAGAAAGTCAAGTCCAGTAAAAGCACTCTTCCCTGGCAGGCCTTGTGGCCAGCATTGGTTTTAGAAGCGGGTTTTGGCATGGGGAGGGATGACCACAGAAGGCTTCTGTCTGCGGGGCTGTGCCTCAGGCACCTCCAGATTCCCAGCTTCCTCCACGGTAGCGCTTTTCACGAGTTTGCCTCCGGACCACAGTAAACTTTCTTTTGTGTTGTGGTCTATAATAACAAGTGAAAAAATGTATGAAATAATGTCATATGTCCCACATTTATTGCATTCTGTTCCATTTTAAAATGCTAGAAAAAAATGCTGGTTAGGGGTGACTGGGTGGCTCAGTTGGTGAAGCGTCTGCCTTCAGCTCAGGTCACGATCCCAGGGTCCTGGGATGGAGCCCTGCATCAGGCTCCCTGCTCAGTGGGGAGCCTGTTTCTCCCTCTGCCCCTCCCCCTGCTCGTGTTCTCTCTCGCTTGCTCTCTCTCAAATAAATAAAACCTTTTAAAAATGCTGGTTAAGCCCACTGAATTGTTGTCCTGAGCTGTTAATGGGTCACAACCTGCAGTGTTTTCAAGTTGCTGACTGACATGCCTCATTCTGGCCTCTGAGCCCCTCCACGCTCTTCCCCATCCTTTTCCACGGCCCTAGTTACTGCTTTGTCACTTGAAGCCATTCCCCAAATAAGACTGTGCTGTCCGTCTGTTCTCTGAACCCACCTCTGGCTTCCCTGATGAGTCTCCCTCGCCTGTGCTCCTGCAGCCTCTCTAAGAACAGGCCAAGGGCCCCGCGTACGGTCTCTCAGCGCCTCATAGCTGACATGTCTGTATGAATTATGAGTAACACTTGATCCACATGACATGTAATCCTCCCCTGCCTGACTGCTGTCAGCTCAGTGGGATTGTTTTATCCTGTTTCTCCACGACGGCTGAGCCCCCTCCATCGGTCCCCTCTGTGGTTGTCCCCGGTCCTCTTTGGTTCGGTGCTCCATGTTTTCTAGAGTGGTGTCACTGCCCGACTGAGCAAGCGGAAAGTGTTCCCAGTGCAGGGCTCTCTCTGGTGGGGGCTTGTTGGGGGAGGCAAGGTCCGTAGAACTGAGTCTGTGGGCTCGGTGCGGGCCGTCTTGTCGTGGCTGGTGTGATGGGAAGCAGACGCTAATCAGTAACCGTGTTCCTTTTGTTTCTGTTCAGCCATATCAGTGGGAACAAAATTGGCTGGGAGAAGACGGGAAGCCACTCAGAGCCGCAAGCACGGGGAGACCCAGGAGACCAAACAAAGGTAGTAGTTCAGCTTTTATTCCTTCAGATCTTGACTCTTTTGAGCATGTGATGTTAGGGATTGGTTTGAAGCAAAGTGCTGTTTTTTTAAAACATGTTGTAATAGACACGGGCAGGTGGCAGGGAGGGTGGGAAGGCAAGGGGGTGTCACACACTTTGGGGATGGGAGGGGAAGGGAGTCACATACTGGCGGGGGGGTGTCAAGGACATTGGCTGGAGGATGGGTCCCAGATGTCATTGCAGGAGAGGGGGTCCCAGACGTCAGTGTGAGAGAGGGGGTCCCAGATGTCAGTGCGGGGGAGGGGGTCCTGGACGTCAGTGTGGGGGAAGAGGGGTCCCAGACATCAGTGTGGGGAGGGGGTCCCGGACGTCAGTGCGGGGGAGGGGAAGGCGACAGCTCATGTCTTCCACAGGCTGGGCAGGGTGTACTGGAAAGCCTCCCGTCCGCTGGTACACACTCTTGTCAGGACTTAGAGCCTTGCAGAGCCCTCATCTCCTGCAGGGTTTTGTGGGGATTGAATGAGGAATCACTTCGAATGTACACTTTAAAAATGAAAGTAAAGTTCATTCCATTCCCCCTTTTATCTGCCTCTCCCTGTTACTAGTGATCCCTAGCAATAGCTTTCTGCTGCAGAACCACTCCTGTCGCCACATGTGGTCCCTTAGGATGTGCCACATCTCTAGCTGGAAGGGGGCTTGTTTGTATACAAGGTGACACCATGTCGGAAATTCATGTAAGGCTCTGGAGTACTCTCGCTGTTGAAGGGTTATCCTGTGAATAAGCAACAGAAATGCTTTGTGGTTGCCTGTTATTTGCAAAGCAGCTTCCAAATTTTCAGCTGCTTGTGTCTATATTCCGTGAATGGAGAGTATAGAAAACACGGATTATCCTTGACTTTTTTTTAAAACCAGTTTTGGTACTTTGTGTTTTAAAGGATAAAATTAAGCACTTAAGTACATGCCACTATAAAGGATATGTTTTGTTTCAAAACAGAGAAATGTATATTCCTTAGATTGACACGAAATCAAGCAATAAGCAATTATTATTTCCAGCATTTATCATGAGAAAGAATAAAACTGTTATGCAAATAATAATTGATCTCAGTAAACACTTTGGACTTTGCTAAATCCATAAAGAGGAAGTGAAGGGTGTCCCTCTGCAGACTTCCGTTTCCCCAGCCCGCTGCCTGCAGCTTCCCATCCCAGAGCCCCACCGGGGGCCCACTCTTCCCTCTGCAGCTTGTGCACGTTCTGTGTTTTGGCGATGGGTTGTTACAGGGTGGGTATTTTTCACTTAATGCTATCCTACGTTCATATTTCTATGTCATTATATAGGGATCTGATTCATCAGTTCTAATGGAGTTAGCTTGTTTTTTGCTTTAATTTTCAGTAAGCAGCTCCCTGTGTATACTTAATTTGGGGCGTCACGATGACCAGAGAGAATACCTGGGTTTGGGTCTCTGTCCTCTGAATGCCAGCTGTGGTGGTGAGGAGTGGGTGTGAGCCACGGTGCTGCGAGTTCCTGGGCAGTGGCACAGTGTCTCTGAGCGTCCCCTCCCGTTTCCACACAGTGAGCAGGGGGACACGGTGGCTGCTCGGGGGTCAGCAAGCACAGAAGGCTACTCCCACCCTCAGGGTCCCCTGGGAATAGGGTGGCGGGGTCACCCACCCCCACCCAGGCTCGGGGGGCCACTCCCACTCCTTCTCTTTGGGGAGGGATCCTCTGCACGAGACACACAGTGAAAGGAGTGGAAACATGACCTGACCTGTTCTCCCCTGTCGCCCGTGGCTCTGCAGACGGAAGGCTCATCCACTGCCTCCTCGGGCAGCCAGCTCGCTGAAGGAAAGGGGAGCCAGATGGGCACTGTGCAGCCGATCCCGTGCCTCCTGTCCATGCCCACCCGCAACCACATGGACATCACCACACCGCCCTTGCCCCCGGTGGCGCCCGAGGTACTGAGAGTGGCAGAGCATCGGCACAAGAAGGGGCTGATGTACCCCTACATCTTCCACGTCCTGACGAAGGTACGGGTGGCCGTTTTCTGTCTGACCAGGCACCTGAAACGGAGTGCATTTCCCCATTCCTAAATGTTGAGAGGAAAGGCAAAAATGCGTACCTGTCAACGCATTAAGAGAAGAACGTGGGAAAGGGTTATTTTCCCCTTCGGTTTGATAGGAAATAGTTTTGAGATTTGTAATTAATGGCACATCATGTTATTTTTCTGACTTGTGATTTTATTTTCATTTCTAATTTTAAAATTTCCTGTACCATGTTTATACCATAGTGTGAGGTTTAATTAGCTGTCCCGTGCACTGCCTGTCTTCTCTGTCATCTGTCCTAGAGCGCCCCTGTGGAGTGGCAGACAGCGCTCCGCGTCCTCGGACTTGTCGAGTGCAGCTCTTATAGCCCTTCAGCAGAAAATCGAACACAGGACTGTGTGACATGCTAACAGTCAGAAAATGTGATTTTTGTGTTTACACAGTATCAGGATTTTACTTTATTAGTGTCTTCTTACCAAATGTATGCTTCAGTAGACAATCCAGTGTGGCATTGTTTTTGAATCTTGGTGTCTCCAATGGATCTATGTGTCCATTTAAATTTTCTCAGTGACTTGTAGTCTTTCTGTTGTTTATGGCCCTAGACCCACGATTTAACATGTAACCTCGGTGACCAGATTTCTCATGTGGATGGGTTTATTGCCATCATGTATTTTTAACATGTTTTCATCAGTGTCTGTACCCCCACAGATAATCAGACATTTTTCTCCCTGTTTTCTGCAATCCATCTGTGGTTTGTAAGGTGGGGTCAGTAAGTGCACAAGCCCCCCTGCCCCACAGCACCCCGAGCTGGACTGCGACCGTTAGCTGGCTAACCCGAGCATCGCTCCCTTGTGTCAGTCCAAGGGCACCCAGAGTTTTATGTTTAAACCACAGTCGCCTCCAGGTGTCATGCACTCTGTGATCTGGGTCTGAACGTATGGTATCACTTTTCAGATTACGGTTGTGAGGTAAACATTTTATTTTTCAGGGGCAACGCATGTTGTAAGGGTAAGTGTAAAGTTCCTCTCGCGGGAGAAGGATTTCCCGAGTTTAAAGGAACCTAGGTTTGGGGGAGATTGCACCCTTTCCCCGTGGGGTTGTGGGGGTTGTGAGGTCCTGGACCCCTGTGCTTCTGCCCTGCCCGCTGTGGTCTACTCGGGGGCAGGCTGAGTGGCAGATGGCCTGTCATCCTCCACCACTCCCTCATCTCAAGGGCAGATATTGATAAAGTGACTGTGGTTGAGAAAAGTAAATGATTCTCTCTTCACATTTTAAAATGCCACCTACCATTTTTCTGTATGTCAGGGAAAGCTCAAGAGTGTCAGGCATGCTGTTTGCTGTGAGCTACATGGCTCTGGTATTAAATTGTCAGGCCGACATGTCTTCAGTGAGGCGAGACTTCACACTCACGCAGGCAGCCGGCCAAGCCAGGGACCCGGAGAGAGTGCCCACCGCACTCTCTCTCACATAAATCTATGTGAAGAAAGAGCAAAGGCCACGGAATTATTGAAAGAGTAGGTAGTGATAAATTTAAGACATTGAAGGTCATATGTATACTCTTATGTCATGAACATTCCTAAAGTTCCCTGCAAAATCTCTTGAGATGTACCTTGATGCCATAGAATGTCGGAGACGGGGCCACAGAGGTCTTGCCACCACCTCAGGTGCGGATGCCCAGCCCCTTGTCTCGTGCCGTGTTGGCCGCGGGATGTGAGCGGAGTGGGCCTTCCTTCGAGGGCTGCCCCGCGGCTGCGCGTGCCCCTCAATCAGGAGGCACGCCTCCCGAGTCCTGGCACATGCTGAAATCGTGCAGAATGAGGGATGCTGCAGGGTGTGCTCTTTGGGAGACCATGTACGCACATGGCTAATGTTTTATGGAAGAGCTTGGTAAAGACAATTTGACCATTTTATTTTCAGGATACTCATTTCTTGGATTTCACATAGGTCATTAAAAATTATGAATTTCATTACATATGACCATCTTGACTCATAAGTAAAATTTGCAAGTTCTCAGCATTTTCTATTCTATTTGTTGTCTGCTCTTATCTGTCCAGATTGTTTCAAAGATTTCGGGGTCGTCTATGTGGTTTCCTTATGCTCTTGGTTCCAGGTTAAAGATGAAACCATGTAGATTTTATTTTGACTCTTTGAGCATATGTTTTGACACCCACTAAATGAACTCTCCCTAACACCCCACTGCACGCAAGTGGTTAAGCAATTGATTTGGAATAGAATTGCAATGTCGTTAACTGGAGATAATGCAGTGTATTTCTGTGAGTTTGTTGTAAATTCAACATGAAAAATGTGCAATATTATTCTGCTTTCTTCCATGCAAAGGGTGAAATCAAAATTGCTGTTTCTATTGAAGATGAAGCCAGCAAAGACCTGCCTCCCGCCGCCCTGCTCTATAGGCCAGTTCGCCAGTATGTTTACGGAGTGCTGTTTAGCTTGGCAGAAAGCAGAAAGAAAACTGAGAGACTTGCTTTTAGAAAGAACAGACTTCCACCAGAATGTATGTACTGTGAAATCCATTGTTTGTTTTCCTCAGTACCTCGTAACCTCTTGTGCATTTTCCAAAGCCTTAGAGGATCGTGACTGAGTCTGCCCCGAGTGTCCCCACACAAGATGGTGGGCCTCATGGGCTCCTTAGGGCAGGAGGACCAGCCATGGGCTGTTTTCCTCAGTAACGTTCCAGTCATGCTGTGTATTTGGTAAAACGTGTGCACTTTAAACTGGATGTTGATCTGGAAATAGTCCGGACGGGCACCCTCTCCTGTGGCAAGCGCGTCCCAGGCAGGGCAACAGTGGCGTCTGCTCCGGTATCCGCGAGCGCGTCTGCGCATAGGGTCTGTGTTCCTGGGGAGGCCCTCACTGTGTGTGGCTGCTTCTGTGCAGGTGTCGTGTGCCTGCGCACAGCCTGCAGTAGACAGGGCCCTGGTCACTGTCCTCCTCGAGGACTCCAGCTGATCGACCCTGGGGTGGAGGGGGAGTGGAAAGACGGAAGGTGCTGTTTGACAGGTCGTCAAAAGCTGAGGTCAGAGCATGCATTTTCCATCTTCCAACGGGCCAGCGTAATATTTGGGGAGAACCGTGTCTTTCTGTTTTAGGTTATTCTATGTACTAATATAGGAGATGTAAAAGTCACTGTATATTTATTAGGAAATACAGAAAAGTTTCCCAAAACATACAGTCTAAAATAAGAATATCCTGAACCGTGGACATTATAGATGACCAGAGCATCCCTTCAACTAAGACTGTTTAGGGACAGATCCCCTGTGTGTGCAGTGGGTCAGAGCAGGCCTGGTAGCATGCCACAGCTGAGCTGCGCTCAGGGACGCACGTGACGGTCTTACCTTTGGACTCTGAACTGGAGAGATTCTAGCAATTCTAAAAGCTTGTTCCATAGGTTCTGATGTTTTCTGTTTCTGATTACTATGCTGCAGTGTGGTTCAGTAAGCCTTAAAATGAAGTGCCTCCATGCCCTGACTTGAGGGTGGCCACTGAGCTCTGTAGCCGCCTGTAGCTGATGCGTCTGCCTCCTTGACTGGGGCTCGAGGCCCCGCGGGAAATACTGAGTGTTGTCAGTGGACTCTGCCATGCTGGGACGTTCCTGGTGGACACATCATCTTTCTTACTTTGCACAGGGTTGGCAAGTCTTCTGCACCAGCTAGCCCAGGCCCTGCAGCCGCGACCTCCCTTCCAAGGCTGTGGCCCCTTGATTCTGCCTTGGCCTGGACTGCTAGGTGCTGCAGAGTGCTGGGCAGTCCCACTTCCTGCTGTGTCCTCAGCTCTGGAGCACCATTTTGGCTTTCGTGGTGAAAGCTGTTCTCTTTCTCATTTGGTCATGTTCCAGAAATAGTTTTCTTTATTTAGCACGCTCCTGGGAGTTTTCCAGGATGGGTCCCCTCTGCAGCGCCCACAGCTTTGTAGAGCAGTCCGGGTGGGCTGCTGTGCTCTGTGCACCCTCAGTGGTGGGCAGGTGCGCTCCTCCCATCTGAGGAGCTCTGTGTCACCGGTGAGCTGCGGGTGCCGGGACGGCAGGAAGTACGAGTGAGTCTCTGCCCTGCTGCAGGTGTGCGGTACAGCCCTGTGCCATGCAGCATGCTCACCCC